AGGATCATAAACTAATTCGCGGCTGACTTCTTGGAATTTGACATAACGGTGGAAAGAAATGCTTCTTCCTTCAATTCAAACTTAATTACATTAAAAACCAGTCATTATGATACTCGCTTTTAATACGGTCATCAACCGGCCTTTAGTAGTCCATTGATGACGTCCATAGTAGGACATTCTTAATCCGTCACCACATGAACACATTGAAAAAAAAGCGCAGGGGGGTCACACGACGGTAAGTGACTACCGCCGATGGTGACCACCTGCAATTCAAGAGTCACATAAAATATGCATTGCCGCAAATGTATGTCTCCCCTCATACATGACATACATACATTTACACCTATATCTCCAAAGAGGTGAGCAAAGTCGTCGTAAACGCCTTTACCGACTATAATTTTAATTCCAACAATGTAATAGAGAACAAACCTAACCGGGTATTTTAGGAATTAGATGGGTAAATTGAGAGGTCAATATGTAAGGTTGGTTAAATGGGAAGGCAATAGCAGGAAAGGAATATTGTTGCTAAGGATGGATTAGGGGGAGCGAGCCAGTACCAGGGACTTCCTTTCTAGGGTATACCTGGTTCCCCGGCTATTAGTACCCGAGACGGCGTGCGGTTTTAGTCGGTTCGAGTCCGACATGCCACCGACAGATGGTATCCGAGGGGATTTCCGCACGGAAAAAAAAAAAAAAAAAAAAGGGGGAGCGAGCCATAGCCATTAAGAATGTACATACAAATTAAACATGATTATTAGATTGATACCAAATTTATAATTTTATATATATATTTATATTATTATATTCAATATATTTTGAATTTGATTATTAATTTGATTTGGTTATTGAATATATTGAATACATTTTTATATATATTTGACTGCACGAATGGCGTAGTGGTTTAAGCGGTCGCCACGGTTCTTCCTACTACGTACGTTGAGTGTTGTGGGCTCCATCCCCACATGGGACGACACTTTGTGTGATCCACAAATTGATATTCTGATTCATGGTGTTTTGTGTCCGTTTCATGTAGTCACCTCCCCAGACCCAGGATATATTCCTAATGTAGGAGTTGTCTTTAAAAAAAAAAGAAAAAAGATGTTAATACAATTGCTTAGTATAAAGAAACAGTGGATTTTAGTTAATTGTAAATACTTTGTAAACACGATGTAATCCGTTATCCAAAAAGTTTTAGAAGTAGTGACTTTGTGTGGGATAACGACATCTACTACATCGCGTCTACAATAATTCCATGCCAAGTTTCATCTTATTATTGACACGACGAGCGGGAGCTAGGACAGAAAGCTAAAAATCTGTTTAGATCAGAAGTTCACCTAATTACCTCCTCGTGAAGGTCCTTTACAGACGTATACCCAAGTAGCTTCAGTAAAGAAGTAAGTTTTTAGTAGCTGCCGACATTCCCCCACAACGGGGCCATGCAGTGAGAAAACGAAAGCTAAAAAAACATTTTCTGTAGAGCGTTACTCTGTACATTTTATGTAGCAACCACCACGTCTTTAACATGTAATTATATCATTACGAGGTACGGAGTATGCTTGTGCTTCAGTAAAACAAGTGAAAAATCACCAAACATAACCGTGTATTCTTTACATTTACATATTTATGCATATCGTACCTTTTCTCTGTTCGGTATTCAACCGTTGTAAGTGCGCTCAATTGGTAACAAAAATAATCTTTAAAGAAAACACGTTTGGGCTGCATTTTAAATCGGATATAGACTAATAAATTAAAGTTGTATAAACCGAAATTGTGTGAGTATATAGCCGCAAAGCCGCGCAAACAGTGAGGTGAGCAAGCACAAAGAGCAGTACTGTAAATCAGATGTACCACGGGAAATTTATGAGCATATAAAACGACCACAGCGACGCCCGCCATCATGTGAAATTATTTCAATTTAACGCCAACTACGTACGTGATAGATTAATGTAAAATGTATACAGCACAAACTATTGGTACTCTCGTTAGTGCCCACTAATTAACTCATAATAATCAATAATTAATTAACATGTTAATAGTCATAAATAGAACACTCACAGTCCTGATCGAATTACGCAGATTGAGGTATGTATTCGTTTTGTAATTTGGCACAGGGTTACACATTATGGCTAAAGTGGTCATCTCGGCACTACATCGCGCTCACCTAATATTGAAATCCACTAAGTGACAACGGTTTGTATGATTCACAAATAGTTATAGTTATTTTATTTTAAAATTTAATGTTGTAAAAACCCAAGCGAGACAGGAATCATTCTTAGTGCTATAGTTGTCTTTAAGAAAACAGCCGTTATTGTTAGAAAGTTGCCATGCTCCTTTTTATTTAAGCCTAAAGGTCACGTTCATATATGTGAAAGTATCCAACAACAAACCTTTAAAATTGTTAGAGTAGTATTTTCGTTGGCCGTTGTTATTTTTTACAATAATGGTAGTATCTGCCCACGGCATTTAACCCGTACCCCAAAAACTGTTGAAATTCATGGAATGGATTGTTGTCACAAACATTTTTTCTTCTATTATTACACACGGTATTTTTTACAATGTATTTGTAACTCTTTATTCTCATAATATATATACATATAGTAGGTATACCTTATAAAAACGTAAGAATAAAGTATGAGATATTCATAATAATATGTATTATTCACACAGTTTTTCCTTGAGTAGATAAGGTGCTTCGATAACCATAATTATAAATTCATGTAGCAAGGAGTCTACATTGATGAGGTACACATTGATGAATACGTGGACCGAGGGCTTAATAATCTTTTATTTAATTTATATTTTTACTCATTTACCTGCTGCCTACCAACACTTGAACCTTTAAATTACAAGGAACTCTGTATATCATTATAGCGCAATAAAAGATCTCGCACCGTAGCATAGACACAACTTTCTAACATCCACTGTTGAGACGCGGTCCACCAGGCATGATCGCTTCACCTTTGTGTGAGAGGGACATAAAATCCGTCCTACTACACACTACGAGTACTTTGAAGGCCTTAAGTTTCACATCAACAGCCTTTGACAGTCTTGTGCTGGATTATGTCCAAAAAGGAGGTTTTGGCCTACTATACCACACTGGCCAGACGGGTTGGTATAGGGTTTGTATCAAGTTTTCCTGTTCTCCTTAACTTCAGCTCACATCAAAATCATAGTAGATGAACCGCAAATGCGAAAACTACCTGTACGCAGCGCAATTTAGCGTATTATTTTACTAGTAATTATTTTCGTCCTTAATGACGAATAAGAAAGGTCGAAGATTAATGTTTAATGTGGTCTAATATATGTGTTATTCCTATGCAGATATTTCTGGAAGCAACGTTGCAACTGTTTTACATCATATTTTCTATCAATCAGATTTATCTTTCATTTAGAAACGTACTGTACAGAGTTTATTTGTTTTATAGTGCGTATGTGGAACAAGGATAACTAAAGCAAACAAAAAAGCAAAAAAGGTATTAAATTCACTAATATACATAGGGAAAAAAATAAACAATGCTAAATAAATTGACATTTCGGATTATAGTTTACATACTCGTATTTTATGGCATTTAAATATGATAAATATAATAATATTATCCAAATAATGAACCTCGTAGTAATTTTTATTAAACATGGGCGTTAAAACGTCACTCGTGTGTACCCATTAAGAACTGTCATTCTTGACCCATCAATCATACGATGCACTTCTAAAACTTGACATGACAAAAACGGTTTTTTTAGCCACGAAAATAAGAGTCAGACTTATACGGTAGCACTATACTAGGAACAGTTATAGCACCTTAGCTACATAAATCGAATCCGTAATTTGTAACTGACCTAGCACTAACAGCGTATATGCTGATGTCTCAACAGTCTATAACACAACAAGTATATCATCATCAATCATCAACAGCCTATACTAGACCACTGCTGGACATAGGCCTCTCCTTAGAAAGGAGGTATATACTTAGGTACTATTTCGCGTTTAATTAAGGTGCATTAAAAATGTTAAATAAACTTTCGTTTGGATACACCTCAATCCACGTCCGAACTCGCTTGGTCATAAAAGATAACAAACATACATACATAGTATCTAATACAGATTATTCTCATAAACAAAAATGTTATTTTCTATAATTGGGAATTAATTAGATAGATAATTTTGACAGATAAATCGAATCATATCGAGTATTGCGTCCACAGAAAATTTATTTAACGGATTAAATATCGACACTAAATCTAAATAGAATTTGTATATCACTTCGATATAACAACATTCCGCTGTCTAAATAATCTCCATGTAATGTAGACAAATGCAAAGTATGTTTATTTTTTTGTTAGTTTTATAATCCCTATGTAATAGCTGGATGTAAAATTTTTAAATACTCCTGTACAAGTACAGTATAGGTTTTCCTGGGTATGTGTTTATAAAACCGCCCATTGCACTGTTTTTAGTAAATATCTAGATTGTACAATACTTTTTTAATCTGCAATAGTCTTCTTTTCTAGCTGTTTTTGGCTATTGTTGTAATTCGAATAATTTAAAGACAAACTCGTTGATCAGAACGTAATATATTTTTTTGCATATAGCTTTTATTAGCATAATATAGCTTTTATTCTCCACCTTAACACAGTTAAAATACTGGATAACCTCCACAAACGAAAAGCATTTTATTAGACAGTGCAAGAAAATTTAAAACAGTTTATGTATCTTTTCCTAGGGTAAGAAAGTATTTACTTTACTTACTCAGTAGCAAAAGCAGTTATACACACATTATAAAACAGAATCAATCAGAAAATAACAAAATATTTACTAGATGTATTTAGTGAGTCGTCGGGAAATGCATAGTTAATTTAAAGTATGGACGAAGAAAATTACTCGGAATTAAAATTAATTCTTTATTACATAAAAAATATTAATCCTTTGTTTAATAAACCGAAGAAACAGAATATTTATGTACCTATCCATACATGACGTGAATTATTTTCATTTATAAGTACTAGTTATCAGGCAATGTATATTTGACTAATCTTTCTGATTCTGCAAATAATTTCTTTGCCAATTCAGGATCTCTCGATATCTTAGAGGGCAACTTTTGCCGACAATCACTAAAGTATTTTCCACTCACATTATCAAGTTCTGAGGCTACAGCCAAATATATAGAAGTCTGTGCTGCTTCCCATGGACTTTGAAATACTAAACCTATAACTGCTAATAAAATTCCCTTAATTATCTTACTAGGAATGTTTCTAAATATATTTGTTGCAGCCACCCCTGGATGCAAAGCATTTACCGTTACACTCGTGCCCTCCAGTCTCTTGCTCAGTTCTAATGTAATCATGTTAAGAAACAGTTTACTATTGGCGTACACTAAATAGTCACTCCAATATTTTTCCATATTTAAGTTTTCGAAATCCAGTTCTCCATATTTATGAATAACGGACGAAACATTTATGATACGACTCGGAGCTGACGATTTTAACTTCGGTACTAATAGACAGGTAAGTAAAAATGGCCCGAAGTAGTTAACTTGCATTCCAATGTGTAATCCGTCAGCTGTTTTGTAGTTACCAAGACCGCCAGCGCCTGCATTATTAATGAGGACATCGACACGTTTCTCTGTCTTATTTATATGATCACAGAAATCTCTAACGGAACGAAGTGAAGCTAAATCTAACTGTCGGAAATGTACATCAGTGTTGCCACTTGCTTTCACAATTTCTTCTTTAGCCGCAGTTGCTCGACGTACGTTCCTGCATGCGATTATCACTTTTGCACCTCGACTCGCCAAGTCTTTAGCTGTCTCAAGTCCGAGGCCACTATTTCCTCCGGTTATAATCACAACTTTGCCGACCATATGAGCACTTGTATTACATATTCCAACAGTTAGTTTTTGATAAATAGTTATAATTATCACTATGGCGACAATAGCGCCAATTATCAACAAAAGAACCATTTTCTAAGTTGGATTACTTACGAAATATCGAAGTGTTTATCGCACAAGGAACTAAACACAACAACGAATTTAAAAGGGGTCACGCGCGTAACCTTATTGATAACAGGGGCCGCGTATCAATAAATTTATCTATGATAAAAAAATATTCGCATGGAGCGACATTTTAGTCGCGTTGACCAGTTGCACTCCACTCATAGCCGTATTCTTAACTACACTAGTTGCCAAACGTGCGTTCGCGCTGCTACATCGTGGCAGCGTGCAATGACATTACATAATTCTTGCTGTCATTGAGTCTAGTGTCGCTCGTTCTAAACCGATATTACCTTGAAACTCGTGTTTATAAAAACTTGCGAGTCCATGTGAAAAGAACTTGACATATTGCCTTTGGATGGGAATCTTTGTAGAACACTGATCGATTCGAGCAATGTAAAACTAATTGTACAATCGTTTCGATTGAACGTCTATTTTGTTACATGAGGACTTACATGTTTTTGAAACGGTTTATTCTCGCATGGCAGATTAAGATTATGGCACATAACATTAAGGTGAATGACCCCGTTTTTCTATTTCCGCGTACTAAGATGTATTAGGAGGTAGTTAAGAAGAATACTATAATAAGCCATAAAATCAATGTACGACAATTTTATTATACTGGATATTAACTCATAAATATGCATACATATTTTTACACTATGAATCGAGGTTAAAGATTGACTAAGATTAGTTAATGTTGCGTGTCTAATTAAAGTAGGTTTGCTTTCCTTTGCGATTATTGAATTAATGTTTTTGAACAATTAAATGTCGTTTCCTTAAATTAATGAAAATGGATTATATACATGAATGTAGAACAATCCATTTAACTTTCAAAAATTAAACTGGCTGCCTATTAAAGATACAAATATTAAACTTCACTTTATTCAAATTATGGCTCATTTAAGGAATAAGAATTGCTCTAAACTTAAATAACTTTACGTATTTTTACGTATCTCATGTTTTTTTTGTGTTATTGTATTTTCTCAATCATTGTAATTATGTAATACATTTGCTTTAAGGCTATTTTATGACTGAAGTGATGCCTTTCAGATAGAATGAAAAAAGCTGCATTGTTTCTTGACTATTAATTCTATATTTTTCTTGCGGTGATAGGATTACAGTTCATTTCTTTTATTGTTAGAGTCGATGTAATGAGTATGGCACTTATAAATAGTACCACAAGTGCTCATAGACTACAGTTTCGGTTTATGATGAGGGTATGTTTGATATTTGTTTTGTTGGTTTAAAAATCTTATTCTGCTAAAAGATTTTTTATGAATCCACTTTAGACGAATAAAAATTAATTAACGTTTTGTATCGTACAAGTACTGTAACATCACATAACAACTAACCGTGTTAACTACGTAATTATATTTGGGAATACCTATATACACACTAGACACTGACTGCCCCTTCACTTCATTTCTAATTTGGTGTTTCTAAATTTGAAAATGACGAACTTCAATACAACCGTTCATCCTTTATCTTACCCCCTAAGGGGTGAAATTGCCAACAATATTTTCTTAGTGAGTGCTTACAACACAAAAAGCATTAACTGCCAAAATTTCAAGCTTATAGCCTCAGTGGTTTACGCTCTGCGTTGATGAAGCAGTTAGTCAGTCAGTGTGTATGTAAATGAGTATTTACATTCATCGTTTCGTGGAATATTTTCGCTGTTGCTAAGTGTATTCGTTTAATTATATCCATAAAACCCATTATGATGTGGTTATTATCCTTGAACATGGGTTATATTTTTTCCTTGCTTTTTCTTAACCATAAAAACAGTAAGTATAATTTTTCCTGTTTAACTTCTAAATGTGAGTTTGTGGGTTAGAATTAAATTTCTAAATTCAAACCTATTGTGAAATAAAACAGAAAGGCAGATAACTCACAATGCGGGCAAAGTAAGACTATAATAAAATGATTGATTTATTAGACAAATTATTTATTTTTACTTTACCAGCATCACGCATATTTTTGGTATTTTGACGTAAATGTCAATATAAATATACCTATTGACATTTATGTCAAAAATACAAAAAATATGACAATTTGTCCATATCTTTTTTACAATATTAATAAGTAATAATATAAAAAATTGATAATAGATTAGTTGAAAGCGTCCGGATACAGATCATTATAAAGAAATCTACATGAATAAAAATTTCCAATTTCTAAAGACATTAGGACAGATTTCGGTACCGAGTGACGCAGGTCTTTATTGAACGCAACTTCATAGGATCACGCGTCTTTTTTTTTTACGTGTGGAACTCTGGCCGTCACCTCACAGGGGTTTGCGGAATGGGGCGGTATGTCGCAATCGAACCGCTAAAGCCGCAAGTAGGCCACTCTACGCCTGAAATAGGAGGGATCCGGGCACAGCTTTTATTAAGACATTCGCATCCCCCTGCGGACATCACCTTCGCGGCTTCGGGTAAATTCTCTATAAAGGCGGCGTCCGGTACACGTGGACATGGATTTCATTGATTAAGATTGAATTAGAGGGAGGAGGATTTCCCCTCTTCAATTTCTACGATGCAGTCAAGCGATTTAACACAGGCAGGTAAGATCTACCTTTTACGATTTCCTTTATGTATTCAGATTATTTGAGACTAGATAACGCTAATAATTTTATTTGAAATTATATTCAAGACATTTTAATAATTTGAAAAATTATATTATTGCATAGTGACAAAGTGCCGTTGAAAACTATTATCACGACGACACATCAAGTATCTCCACTATACACCTCCAATGTCCTGAACTAAAAGTCTTAATTATTTTAAATTCGAGTTAAAATTCTAGAACGTTGCTAATGTATATAAATATTTATATACATATAATCCTTTGTCTTTTCTTCTTAGACCATAGTGTTTTTGTCTACGGTTTACTTGCCGTAAAACTTGTCTAACATCGTACTTTTAGTTAGTAAACTTCCTACATATGTTAGTATAAATTCACATTCAGTTTTGTTATCGCCATTACAGTACGACAAAACAACTTGGACCACTAAACATAACGATATCCATTCCATTAGACAAATGTCAGTTTGCGGTTAATTTGACATTGGACATGTTTACACAAATGTACTATCGAAAACGTTAAATTGTCAAACATTTCATAAATTTATGGTTAGGAAATCACGAGAATTTAATAAATAATATAAAGTGTTTACCATACATATTTTAATTAGTGATTATGGTACGTATTCTATAAATGAATAAACGGAAAACGTTCCTTTAATTAAAGTTGGCATAAATATTGGGGTCATTATAAGTTTTAAGTCCTCTTTTGATCAAGATCAGTGTTTTTGTGTCCAAACGGTGATTAAACAAAAAGATTTACCTATGTACATAGATCAATGCTTATAGAAGAAACTGATAGACTGATTCACTGACTGATTGATCAACACATAGCTGAAACCGCTGGGTCTGAAGCATGAAATTTTTGCACAAATGTTCCTTGGGATTTTTCAAAATTCCACCCTGCAAAGGGGGTTTGATAATTTATATGAAACTTCCTTATTTTAAGTAGTAGCGTTTTTAAACTTACAGTAAATACTCTTTACAAGCCACGTTTTTAACTAGGTACTATCGGGTCGTACGCTAATTCCTAACATTTGTTTCATCTAAGTTTTTTTTAAATAAATTAACCTGGTAATTAAGCAAAAATTAAGCAATTACAACTTACACTAGCAATCCGTAATCCTATCCAAAAAGTATTGCATCCCCAAACTGGGTTGGAGTCAATCAGGCGACCGAAACCATTAAAGAAACCAGACAAAATGCTTTGTAACGTCACATACCGTTGACCCCAAGAGTACCTAATAGTGAAAATGACTGGAATATGATGAATGATGACAATAATAACTACTATGTCATGGCAACCTGTGTGACAGGGTTTCCTAGAGCAGGTGCCAGTCTCCCACAACGGTCTTGAGCAATTACTGTAATAACCTAGTATTAAGTCATTTTTGTGGAAGAGAAAAAATAAACTAATTATTAAAATAATATAAGCAAAAACTAGGTTGTTTTTTTTTTTTGCATTTCCTTCTCAAAGGTTATTTCTATAAGGTCTTCAATTTAAAAGTAAGTTTGGTATTAATAAGACAATTGAATAATCACATAGTATGCAGGAAAGTAGTATAAAACAGGTTTAATAAGCAACGAACCGCTGAGTTTGCCGTCAATTTATTGCGAAACTGAGTAATTTTCATTTGTTATCCACATACGTTGCAATATAATATTGTCTATTTTACTGTATATTGTGTTATACTGTGTCTGGAATAAATAGACTTGCTTGCATAAGACGTAGTTATATAATATTTATACAAACCATGACATTATACCTAAATTAGTGTATTAATTATTGACCAACATTCATTTCAAAACAACTTTTGTCTCTAATTATGCCTGTAGATATAGGTCACGGTTACACAAAATAACCTAGTACCTACATATAATATTTAAATATAGTTTAAGATCTCAAGCTCAGGTGGTCTAATAGACAACATAAAAGACACTGCCTAAACAATCGTTTAAACTGCTCTACTTAAATTCAGAAAATCATTATTACATTTATAAGCACCTACTGTTTAACAGAAGTCTATTGCATTTTTAATAGAAAGTAACAATCATTTTTACGAAGTCGTTCTACTGGTCTTCGATAGATGGCGCTGTGTATATTGTAAGGATGAAGTAAGAAGCAAAGAAAAGTAATAAAAGGTTTACATACCCAATACATAGAACACAAAGAATTATGTTATTGCTCATGGCTTTGTTCGCGTCCCTACAGCGTCCCTACCAGTTGCGGATTAGGCACGCGCCTACTTTGCCTTAGGAAAGTAGGCACGTGCCTGGAGCGCGAGGTCACAAAACGGTACTTATAATAACTTACAACAATATAAACAATTCCTTAATTATTTGACATCTAGGATTTATATTACGTAATTGCCACCACTTCTTTGTTTTCATATTCTGATATCTACGCAGATTGATGCTTGCTAGTGCGTGTCAATGGCACTATATGTTGCAACGGTGTGGGTGGCAGCTCTGATCGCCCATAATAATGCGCGCCTATAGCACCCCCAGAGGGCGGTGGCAGATCTCTTCAATGGGATTTAAAGGCGGCAATGAGTGGCTAAAGGCCGCTTGTCGAGCCAGTGTAGTGTAGTGCGTATAGCGGTGAGACCCCGTTTTGGAGGATTGGCACGAGAGGAGACACGTGACCCTTTCATTCTGGCTGAAACAGGCGATCACCGTGATGGCCATCGGAGTGAGGAATTTTTAGCTCGGTAACATAATAGCGGCCATGGCACGGAGCGATGGCGAGTGGAACTCCGCCACCCCCATCTGCGAGCAAGTTATGATCAAGAAGTAGAGGGTTGAGCGGGTCTTGAAGAGGTTTATAACTCTCCTGGTTCGCCAGGCCCGGGAACGGGTCAGGTACTCAGGTAGCTCATCCTGCGTAAATCAAGGCCTGGGGGTGACAGGTAAGGATATCTGTCACCCAAACAAACAGGCCTGGACGTCTTAATAAAAGCTATTGCCGGACCCATTCTATTTCAAGCACAGTGTGTGGTTTTAGTCGCTTCGATTCCGATACAACGCCCCACTGCAAACCCCGTTAGGGTGACAGCCCAACCAGAGGCTTTCCGTACGTAATAAAATTAAAGTTGTAGTGATGACATGACCGATAAAATTTTGGAGTATTCATTATCACACATTTAGTAGCATCAACCAGTAGCTATTATTAATATAATATAGTATGGGCGCTAGAGAGGCGCGGGGGGGCGATTAATCCGCCTCTGGTACCTACTTATGGCTACTTTACAAACTTTAAATAACCCTAAGTAATATGTAGTTGGGATTATTTAAAACGACTGACACTCTATTAAGAGCTTCCAGACAAACTACAACGGCATAAAATAGACATTTGTAGCTCAACCTAACCATCAAAGATGTTGTGCTTGCAATTGCTGAACAATTTCTCGCATCGCGTGACATCAAACGACCTCATTACTTCGAGAGTTTACCTGTACTTGTATTGTATGATGGTTTTATTAGTTGGATAATCTATATTTCTGTTACCTTTCTGTCTAGATGTGTTGTAAATACGTTATTCTCCCTACTTTGATCTTAACTGACGCGTAACACAAAGCCTTATAAAGACATTCTAAAATGTAATTAAAATTCTCAGCTGTATTTATACTGAAATCAAGAAGGAGGCTTTCTTTGAAATTGGATTGTACGGAAAGAAAATCCATTTTTAAAAATTCAATTGTACGCAATTACATAGCGCTTACAAGCAATTGGAAACTTTTGCGGCGCCTTCTCTTTCAGAATCTCCTTCGTACCGTGATATACAAAAGTATGCAAGGTAAATGTGATTATTGTAATTACTTAAGCCAAGTTTAAGTAAGTATTAAAGTAATTAATATTACGTAAAGCACTTTACGTTCTTTGAGTCATTTCTTAAACAACAAACGATCTGCTGTGAAGTCTCTATTAACTGACTGTTTCTATTTTTTCTTTTATTTTAAATAAGGAAATGTTTACTAATTGGATTGTGTAGTTTATAAGGTAGTGTTATGTTCAAATGGTGATTGAGGTAACCAGCGATTTTAGGTTGAGGAGTTTTGTAACCCCGACCGTTTATTAGAGTCGTGTGGTTGTTTACACGTTTAGTAATGCAAAACTTTAACTTAATAACTTGTCTACAAACTTCTCAGTATCTTTTGACAATTTATTTTAGTTAATTGTTATTTTATTTTTTCCATTTATTTTATGGTTATACAAACTTCTGAATATTTAAAATAATATAAGCCATCTATATATATTTAAAATTCTGCAAGTTTTTTATTTGTTAGCGACTAATGTAAACATTTTTAGACTCCATGTTGACCGAATTTTCTGTGTAAAGAAACATGAAATTTCATTTGATTTCAAGGACTCAAAATGTCCCTTGAGTCAAATGACCTGGCGTACAGTTGCCTCACATAAACAAATTAAGTTCCAATAGCGAGATGATAATTAGCCGTTGCTATATTTTATGAAATTTAATAAATTAACAGTCGTTTAATTTAGCTCATTAGGAAAAACTAATAAAAAAGCCGTGATCTTTAATGAATCGCTTACTGAAGTGTGAAATCTTTTAATAAATTAATTAAGATCTATGTACTTACCTAATAAGCCGTCAAACTTAATCGGGTCGAACGGCCGCGCCAGTAGACCCGGCTCGAGGAACCAACGCTTTACGAGCCCTTTAAAGTCTTATTGTTGAACTTTTGAGCTCCTATCTCATTGACGCCAATTACTGTCTGTATAATAAGCAATTATTAACGTCTTTAGTTCTTAAACTTCATCAAATGTATTCATGGTTATGTTACTTATTTATTATCTTTCTTCACTCGATGCACTTGCCCTAAGAAACAGTTAACTCTTCAAAATAGTCAACTTCCACAGCAAGGATGGCCACTTGTACTTTAATATACTCACAGTACCACACAATATTTTATATAGAATGAAACAATTAATTATTTTATCATCGTTCGGTATTTCAACTGTAGAGCTTTTTACAGTTAATCTATGCTGCGCTGTGGGTATAATTTAAAAAAACATCGGTTTAAACATTAATATTACTTTTTAGCTCCCAAATGGCACATCGCTTTCTAACATCAAATTGGAAACTAGATCAAAGCAAGACCTGGCTCTTACTTTGCACTTGTAAACTAATTCAAATCAAACTATTAATTCTTAAAACACTACATACTTGTAAGTAGTAACTTATATTGCAGCAAAATAGCAGACGATAATGATTATTAATTACTTGTACTGTATACATGTAATCAACTAAGAAACCGAATATCCACATGATTAGTCGTGTATAATGCTGGAATCTCTTCCCCTTTATCAGTAATATGTTAAGCTTACTACCATATTTTATTCGTTTCATTCAAACGCCTGCAAAAATAGGAGTAGCATTACACAGAATCACAATAATGCTAGTTGCAGGCAAACAAATGCAACAATATCGTTCATGTTATATTCATGGAACATTTTATCTGGTGAGAAATATTAATAAGACAGTTCATCCGTTGTTAGTCTAAAAAGCTGACTTCTTTAATAGTACCTAACCCGAATTTAAACAAAAGTTTTAACAATTCATGAGCGGTGGATTTGTCAATTGTTACAAAACCTAGGTAGAAGACAGCCTGGCTAACATACTAAACTATCTACTAACAGAACAAACTCCTGCTTAAATTGATAGAATATTTGTGTCTCAATTCTATGATGATGATGATGACTGACTAACCCGACACTATATCTAACTAAAGTGACACCTGGGCAAAGTATATCTAAGATTAACTAAATATCAAACATTTATGACTTTGTAATATGTATGTTATCTGCTTGATAAACATATCTTTGATAATCCGATTTAGTATAGCCAGTATTGTCGACAGGCAAAAATGTTATTCATTGGTACATTACTAGTAATAAATATAATAGTTGCCATAATTATTAGTATTTACTGTAAGTTAACAACCGGAATATGCAAATGCAGTAGACATCTAGTCGGTAAAACAGTTATAATAACAGGTGGCAACAGTGGCATTGGTTTAGAAATTGCAAAAGATTTAGCGTCAAGAGGAGCTAGAGTGATATTAGCATATAATGCTAAGAAAGAAGGAACTGCAGTGCGCGACTTGCTTATTGAATGTACAGGTAATGATAACGTATGTTGTCGTGAGCTTGATCTTGCTTCACTAGCTTCAGTAAAAGAATTCGCTGATGGTATAATCAACACAGAAAAACGAATAGACATACTCATCAACAATGCAGAGATATTTGAAGGAGAAAATATAAAAACAAAAGATGGACTATCTTTGTACATGCAAGTCAACTATTTTGGACATTTTCTTCTAACTTCCTTGCTGCTGCCGTTACTGAAATCTTCGTCACCTTGTCGTATTATAAACATATCGTCAGACGAACATAGAAGAGGTAAATTTGAATTGGATAACATAATTGAGAATGCAACGAACGATGCTTACAACCTTCGAAAAGAATATCGAAAAGCAAAGATATGTAACATTCTAATGACGTTAGAACTAGCAAGACGGTTGGAAGGAACAGGTATTACTTCGAATTGTCTCAATCCTGGAATAATTTTCACTGCTATAGAGGGAGAAACTACATTATTGGTGCGATACATTCAAAAGATAGTTCAGCAGTTTCTTAAAACGCCTTGGGAAGGGGCGCAAACAACAATATTTTTGGCAGTATCACCTGAAGTAGAATTTGTAAGTGGAAAGTATTACTCCGATTGTCGAGAAAAAATTCCTGCGCGATGTGCTCGAGATAAAGACGTAGCTCGAAAGTTATGGGAGATATCTGAAGAGCTTGTTGGTTTGAAGAAAATAAAGAATGACTTTTCTGATTATTGAATATTTTATTTTAAACACTTCTTCCTGTCTTTGTATTTCCTGAAATAATTATGGTAATAAACAGAGATCGTCTTATAATACACAATTTTACGTTTTTATGTTTAATTACTAATAATTCTTGTTACGTTTATTGATGGTCTAGTCTTGATTATTTTCTACAGTCGTCACAAAATAAGAAGCCCGTTTTGACATTTGTCATGGTGGCGTAACTAGTGATTAACCATACGACTCTGTGCACGATACTAACGATAAATCGATTCGAGCTTGCAGAGTATTTGATTGATTTGACTATATATCACAAAGTGCATTGGATTTAAGTTATAATTAGAACATATAACTTAAACTTTAATGTTATAGGCAGGATACAATGGAAAGAAATGTCAATTTGTCTTTAATTTAAAAATTTAGCTCAATCACAACAAAATCAAGAAAAGTGAAATCAATCATTTTCTTCTGATGACGAGCCAGATGAGCCTGTATATATAATTATTTCATTTTCTATAATATTATCAATATTGATGTCTCTATCATAATCTTCCTTTATTATTTTTGGCGTCTTTTCTACCACTTTTGCCCAATCTTCTTTAGTTATTTTATCACAAGCTCCTTTTAACAATGTCATCATATTCTTAGTGCAGAATGGTGGCTTTTTATGGCTGCGTATCCTTTGACCTGAGCCCAGATTAATTCAATAGCATTGTACTGACAATGGTACGGCGGCGTTCTTATCAATTTGTGACCATGTTGAAGTGCCAATTCATCGATTTTATATCTTAATTTTGCAGGTTTATTTTGTTTTACTAATTCCAGCAGTTCAGCTTTCAATAAACTCATGTCAGCTTCTACGCCTTTTCTTTGTAACCACGCCACTAAATCTACCCTTTTGCTTGCTTGAGTAGGTGCCTTATCTATTTGAACTGAATGGTAAGGTGCATTATCCATAATTATTGTGCACTGTTCGGAGAGGTTTATTAACAACTTAGTAAACCACTCTAAGAATTTATTTGCATCCATTTCTTCGTGGTAGTCTTTTGTACTTCTGGACTCGAATGCGAGTAGAGCATCATGCATAAAACCTCCCCCGGCTGATCCGGCATTGCAGATTATTACCCACCCTTACCCATTGGCACTTTTGAACAAGATGCCTTGGTATCATCCATCCATGACTGTGGCACGGTATGATTCGAGTTCAGCCAAGTTTCATCGATAAATATGATATCATCCCAATTTGTAATTTTGTTCATTTGCCTCAAGAATGATATCCTGTTCAAAATTATATCATATCGTTCCATCATAATTTTCCTCTTGTCGGTTTTCTTGTATTTGAAACCAATTTGCTTCATAATTGTTATTAAAGATGTTGCACTGCCACTAAACAGGCCAGCCTCTCTTAGTGATACCACCAACTTACTTACAGTTGGGTACTCACTTCTCGTGTAATAAGCATATACGTGGTTTCGAATAGCATCTATGTCAAATGTGTCAATACCTGTTACAGGCTTGCTTTTCTTCCTCTTCTTAGGCGTATGTAACACATTTTCTTCAGTACCGGAAGACCCATACTTTTCCTTCAAAATGGTTCGAATAGTTTTTTTGCCGATTCCAAGTGCTTCTGCTACGCGATCTTGCACTTGAGTTACGGGTAATAATGGTCCACCATTAACTGATTCGCGTTCGAAGTATTCGGTTAACTTCACAACCAATTCGCGTGATTGTTTGTTGATTGTACGTCCTCTTTTCGACATGTTGAAACAGAGTTTGTACAATATAACAACAAACACCAAAATCGAGTCCAAATCGCTATATCTAATCAATGTCCGGAATAGAAGAGCCAAGGTCAACGTGATAGTAAACAAAAACAGTCCAAAAGCAAAGCCGAGTCTAGAAAAAATATCAAACATAAACGAGCGTACAGTCAACTTCACAAGATGTCGAACGAAAGACTGCGCAGTACGCGGTACGCGCATGGATCACGTGCCGCTTGGTCATAGACAAACCATTCTATAGGTACATAGAGAAAAGAAACAAATTATGTACGGCTTTGATAATTCTTTTATAGACTGACTTTTAAGGACTGTTGTCAAATGTGACTGTTGCAAAATGAGACATGACGTTTAAGACAGAAAAATAAGGATGAATTATTTTTTTCAATATCATGATGAAATGATTTGGTTAAAAAACCCGGAGTCCACTCCGGGTTTTTAACAAAATCATTTATATAATATCAAAATATTCATATTAAATATCAAGATAAAGCTAAAACTATATGTGATCAGATTTTGTTTTTAGATGTTTAAATATTAAATAGTACACTAATTACACATTTATCTCTTTTTTTAATGATTTTTAGAAACTCTATTTTATTCGGCCATAAAACGGCTTTTTAACGTTTACAACACTACGGCAACCAACCCAAAGACATGACATTGCAGTAAAGTCCTGTCGGAATATTAATCAACGATTAATTCGTGTTTTTGAGTGCATTTTTTCAATATAAAGTTAATCTTGATGCTTATTTATGATACGCGTTGTGATAGTGTATGGGTAACATAGTAATTAAATAGGATTATGAATTTGATTTTTCAATTTCTTACATAGACGTTCATACAAAGTTATCGCGGCATGTCAAATGAGAAACGTCAAAACGGGCTTCTTATTTTGTGACGACTTTAGTTGAGTACGAAATTTGGCGACATACAGTATTTGGTGTTTTGTGTATTTATTAATTTCCGAATATAATATAAATGAATCCATTATTCTGTTTTAACCCACTGTAGTAACCAAAAAATATATAAGTTGAAAAACGTCTTTGACCTCGTCTACACCCATTCATTCCATTATTATATTTCTCTCAATCACATCATGACAGCCTTTTGAGGTATTTACCGACGCACCATCTTTTTAGTAGAATTATTACAATTATAAACATTCAAACAATCTCGTAAAGTTGCCAACAGAACCATCACGATAAAAATTGAAACATAAAACACAATAAATCACTTTGATGTTGGCTCAGAATTGAATCTTTTGTACACAAAACTTTGGCTATGAAATATCAGCAGAAGTTTAACAAATAGCATTCAAAAAGAGGTTGTATTGAAAATATCGAATATTGGCGACTTTGCAAATACTAAAGTTTAGAGTAAAACGTTACCAGATTCGTCTTTGTCTGTTATTATTTTCGTATGACTCTGCATTCGTACATAGATACTTATAGACCTGTAGGTATACAGTTTTTATACACACAACACACACACAAGAGCCTTTAATAGTCCACTGCTGGACATAAGCCTCTCGTTAGAAAGGAGGTATATACGGAAAGTAAATAAGTTTCTTTAAGTTCAAAACGAAAAATCATTTTATAGTAAAAAAAGCGTAAATATATATATATATATATATATCACACTTCAAATGAAATATTAACATGATCCAATTAGTATAATATATTCTACCACATACACACAACGCCATCTAGTCCCAAACTAAGCAGAGCTTGTACTATGGGTGGTACTAGACAACTGATATAAATACATATATACTTTTTTTTTGTAAATACATACATATTATATATAGAAACACCCAGACCAAATCAAACATCAAATGTTCATGCACACAAATGTTTGACTTGAGCGGGAATCGAACCCGCGACCTTTGGAATAGCAGTCCGTTACACAAACCACTACGCCATCCAGTCGTCTAAGTATTTTTTTATGATTGTTATTTCTCACTCTATAAAGCGAATTTACCTAAAATATACTGATTATTTACATAATTGAAGTCAATAAAACCGACAAAAGCCCAAGATAGCTCTCATAGAACAATGGCAGGTCTCCATACAAAAAAAAAAATGGTATCAAATTACTGCATCTAAAAATAGAAAGAAAAAATAGAAAGATATTAAATAAAAAAGTCGACTGCTTTAAGAATCTATGTGTAAAAATATTTTTTATTTTAATAACCTCAGAAAAAAGATATTAGCGTTCGATTTTTACGTTACGCACAACAATTTTATTTTATCAGTTGATAATAATATATTATCACATCGCTGCAAAATATTTTCTTTATTTTGTGAATTTATCTGTGGCTATCGACTCTTTAAATTGGTTTCTGTGTTTTTTACATAAATTTTTGATACCTAATTTCATTGAGTTAAAACAACACTAGAGAAGCAAACCTCATTATCACACGTCGAAAAAAGTGTAACCACTTTTGAACTTTGACGACGTAGCTTTGATACCACTAAACATTTGAAAGTAAACATATTTATGTCTCATTTACACGCGAGACAAGAACGATACCATCGCTCGGATTAGACAAAGACAAAGACATAACTTTACGATGTTGGGCCAGTGTTGACTACCGTATGAAATTTTACCCATAACAACCAAGAAACAATTTTTTTTCAAACAATTTTGTAATAAAATAAATTAATTTAAATATTTTAAATAATATATTTCGAATTGAATGGAATAGGTATAAATAATAAAATAACTGTAAATATTTGGTTAAAAGGGTTTATATTCAGTGTAAAATCAAACTCCGCTATGAAGCATCAGTTTTGTATACAATTGTCTTTTAGACTCTTTTTTATAAGTTTGTGTGGATATTTTACTTTCATGATACAATCTTATTTTTACCTATGTATAAATAATGGCATTTAATAATAAAAGTGAATGATCAACTTGTACTGATAATAAATAATCCCCAGGGTGTATTGCAAATTCTTTTAATATTTTAAAATACAAAAAATAGATATATATACATATATTTACATATATTTTCTTTTTTATATTTTTTTTATTTATATTTATTTACTTTTTTATTTTATATATATATTTTTTTGTACAATTATTATTTATAATTGATAATTAATTAAGAAAAATGAATGAATGAATTAATTAATTCTTTTGTACAAAAGTCTCCAGCACTGCGAGCTTGGCAGAAGGTGAACGTTCAACGGGTCCCTAAAAAAAGTGATCGGTCCAGCCCTAACAACTACCGTTCTTCCTATATTTTATTATTATTAGCAAAATGTTTAAAAACAGTATAAAGCATATTATTTCATAAATTAGAAATTCTCCCACTAATGTGGGAAAACCAAAATGATTTTTTAATGGTAACACTGATTCTAAATTACAATTATCAATGTTTTATTTCAATTATAGCCTTATTTACGATATTATCAATACAAAAACCATAAACTTACACGTGATAAGTAATTCCCCATGATTTATTATGGTTTTGTGACCTTGAATCGCATTCTTTCACTACGCATTTACCCATTTTGGCGATTGTTACTGTCATGTGTCGCTATGTTCAACTCGGTTGACGCCACATTGAACACTGAATTGACGTTTGCTACGCATATGGCTGTGGACAGATGTGCAGTAGCAACGATTTTAGGCGGTAATTACTCATCTATGTAAGTATTATATCAATGCCTAATTTTATGTGACATCAATATGTGTGTCATATAAATAAAATAGAAAAAGATAATAAAGGATTAATAAAGTACACTAGCTGTCACACACAGAACGCAAACGTCTGTCAAGAGTTGTTATTTGTCATTGTCAAAAAACCTTTTCTATTTTAAGCTTGTCTGTAAAATGGTAACAATCAACTGCTAAAGGAAATTAAATAATCAAATAAGCTTGGAATATTTTTCTTTCCTTTCCTCGAATCTTACTGACTTAGAGGATAGTTTAAATAACCTAGATATTTATAAGAATGAGTTTCCTATGAATGACACTTTAAGAGGCACATATTATAGTCAAACAAGAATTCGTCACTGTTCTTTATATAAAGCCTGTTAAATTATTTTTCGAAATCCGTAAAATAAATGTGTGCCTGCCATTTGATCCATGATTGAAAAAATATCGTAATTAAACCTCGTGATGTGCTAAAAGCTTTTTTAAATCTGTCAATGCTACTTGGTCTCTCATTAAAACCAAAGGTCCATGTCCTGTCACGAAACAATCTTTAGAACAGCATGAATTTTCATTTGTGAACGCGATATCCCGTGAATTCCCGATACGCATGAATCTCTGTTTAAAGGTAGAAATATTTAAGGCGGGGTGTCGGTGGACTAGAGTTTCGAGTCTAAATGTTTTGTTGGGTCTAAAGACAAGCGCTGTCTAGCCACGATCGTTCCACGGGAATTCGATATTGCCTCAACTGAAGGGTTCCAATAGATATTATTGTGAACTTTTATTCGCTATTGTCAGTGTGAGCGATGCCACTTAGTCGTGCTCAGATGATTGTAAAATCGTATTCTTTCTTTACTCTTAGACGTTCAAAAAAATGACATTTTGATTCCTTTTATTTTAAAACCGTACAGTTAATATTCGGATACGTTATACGTATTCATGACATAGCAATCTAAAATTGTCCACGTCCAAGTGAAATGAATTATAATATCTGGTAGATGACGCTGATGCAGCTCATTACTATTGTAGTCGACAACGCCTATTGTTTAGTATTTTTTTTAGATACTTTATGCACAAGTATGGGTTGTGCAATGGCGAACTTAATAACATAGGCATTTTGCCCAGTCTACCTTAGCGTGGTGCTGAAATGTGTGACTAGGTGCACTAAAGAGTGAAATATAAAGTAAGAAGAAATTATTGAGAAGTTAAACAGAAACAATGAGATAAATATACATACATACATACGTATCAAATACATACACATACATTAATACTTACCTAGTGCCTATACATGCATAAACCTACATATTAATAATACATAAAACTTTAAGTATAAGTATAAGACCATTGTTAAACAGCATTTAGCCCATTTTTTGACTCGTGACGATAGCGTTACGAAAAGTGAAGTGAGTGAAGATATAAGTTAGTCAAGATAGAAAGAGAGAGAGAGAGAGTTACGTTTCGTATATCACTGTAGGGACAAGAGAGAGAGGCTCACATTTTCTCCCTCTCTTTCTCTCATAGCCAAAAAGTTTTACTTCAGTCGTGTGTGTTTTCGCACGCTTGACTTGGGGAGTAAGCTGGTGAAAAGTGTGTCGTCGTGTGCTCTAAAGCACACTCGTTTTTTTATTAGTTAGAAGAGTTTAATGCTTATAGATTAGGACTTTTAAGTATAATAGAGAATACATTTAATTCATATGAAAAACATATGATAACTTAATTTAACATAAGGCTATTAGCAAGAATTATAAAGAATTTAGAAATCTCGGCAAAATGGTTCCTAACAAAGAGTGTTAACAATAAAAACACATATAACTAACGTAATATATACATAAACAACGTGCGTCACACTCTTGACCAGGTAGTTTTAAGTAACGAAATTATATTTTTTTATCGCAAAGCAAATAAGTATCCAAAGCTGACTGCGCTTAAAAATGTGCTAGTTTGCCTGCTCAGTTGTAGTTCCAAACAATATTATTATAAACAGAAGTCCACAATTTATATGTTGTATATAATATACTTACCTACGCTTCAGATTATTTGAAAAACAATCGAAAATCAGTGCTTACGATAATGATCCCTAATAAACGATTGAAAAAAAAATGGCGTAAAATAAACGTACGTATAACCCATGAGATGAGTGTACTAGTAAGTTTATAGTATAAAATTATAAACATTTTAATACATAGTATATGGCATCTCGAAATTGACACCAATGACAATAGTTTGGAGAGGTTTGGAGCATTCGGATTGGAATTTTTAAAACATAAAGAAAAAGAATGTGAGAAATTTAGATCTATGTTTCCCTAGCTTCAATAATGTCAGAGTGTCACCTTTTCATCCATAGACTAATATTTTACACATTAGTCTTTGTCATCTCGACTGAAAGATGTAGGTTGTCATCCGTGAAAAGCATCTCTTTTTTTCAAAATTTCAGTTATTTGTTAGAAACCAGAATGAAAGCGGACGCAGCCGAACAAAACGATATGGTGACATATTTATGGAACTGTTTGACTTTACCCGAAGAGTGCGTCATTGACCCTAGCGCTGATCCTAAGCTGTTGTATTGGGGTATTGGATTTCTTGGGCTATATCTCGCATTCCTTTTGGTTATCGGACCCAATTCAAATTACTTCTGGTCATTAGATAGCTATCAACGTCAGATTGATCATTATGTGGCTATGGTGCGATCCAAAGTGAGGAGAGTACAAATGGATCAGAGGAAACTAATGTCGCTTCAAGAAAGGTCAGAAAACCAATTAAAGAGGAGTCAGCAGTGTAATAAAGCGGTGGTCGAATTAAGAGCAGCACTGAACAGAGACTTATCGTCGTTTAAGAATTTAACTAAATACTTCTGGAATGATGGTACTCTTCAGCCAAACTCAGTAGGAACGTGGAATGTGAGTCACATCAACAGCCTTTAAAAGTCCACTGCTAGACATAAGCCTCTCCTTCGAAAGGAGGTTGTGGCCTACTATACCACGCTGGCCAGACGGGTTGGTATAGGGTTTGTGTTAAGTTTTTCTTCTCTCTGCAGTGCTGTTGTTCTGCGTAGCTTTCTCCCTTAGTCGGCTCTCATGATACTCACGGGATGAATAGGGGTGGTGACACTGTATTCTTAATCCGCCACTACACGGATCATGTGAGTAAACATAATTTTATCTCAAGCTCGGGACTGTTGATTCAATTTAACATCATATATTAAAGACATGTATTTACGAGGGTACCTACATATTGCTGATACATATCGCCTGCCTTTCCTGTGCTTTTCCCACAGTACCCAATTGTCATTGACTTGTAGCGCGAGGAATTGGTGTGTGTTCCCCGAAACACACAGTTCCGCAGTACAAAGCAACATGCGTTCTCATTAATCAAAGGCGTTGGGCGACTGTCGGACATGAAAGTCGAGTATATCGACTATGTCACTGGGTCGATTTTTGACATGTCCTGCGACCCTTTGATGTCACGGGCCGCGCCGGTCGACATCGCGTGCGACGTCCTGGGACACGTTTATTTTTTTCTGATAAGGTTACAGTACAAAGGATAACGGCAGATCCTGTACCTAGTAATAGTATATTTATAGAAGATTATGCTATTTGTACCGTTTACAAAGTAAATCATCCTAACCTAATATAATCAATCAATCAATAGGATAGGATTAGGTAGGTAGGTAGGATTCTACCTAATCCTATCCTATCCTAGTTTCATGTAATTATCATATTGTTAGAAGTTTGCTAAAAGTAAATGAATTCTTTTCACATAAATTGTAACAACTGCAATAACTAAACGTTCTAGTGTTGTTAAAACTTTTGAGCGCAAAGTTCTAAAAATCAGCTATATAACACTGTAATTGTTGATGATATTACCAGCCAAATAAAAACAGCAATAATCCCTACCATGAGATACGCAAGGCGGTACAGAAGTCCCATACATGCCTGCCATTGTCCTTTGTAGTGAAAATGGAATAAAATATAATGAAAAGCCTAAAAACAAATACACTCACACACACCGTAACTGCCAAGTTTTTGTAGATTTTCTTTGATTTTTGTAAATTCATAAATATAACACATCAAACAATCAATGTCGATAAATACGTATATTTAGAATAAATACATGGCACCCAGGTATAAAATAAATGATCATGCTCTTCACACAATATCTGTCCTGGGTGGGAATCGAACTCACGGCCTCTGACTTGGCAGTCAGTATCGCTAACCACTAGGTCCGTATACATTAAGGTGTACAATACTACTAGAAATGTTGTACTCTAATACATGCGTGTTATTTAAGAAATGTTACGCTACTGCAAATCGATACATTGTATTTATCGCTTTACCAGTTATAATTTATACCTACTGAGTGTGTATTGTATTGATATACTAATGTACTGGTAATGAATATACACGAACAAGAAATAGAATTAAAAAGAGTTTAACTTAGCTCGTGTCAAAATCATTGTACTTATAAGTTAAATTATACCAAATACTTAGATATATTACGTGTCACGACATTGTTACCGTAAAAATAAATGAAATAAACATGTAAAAATAAAATTCTGGCCATAGCTAACTTGAATTATTCGTATGGATTTTTTGTCTGCATTCTGATAAGGTATAATAAGAGAAACAGAGACGGCTGACTAACTTTTCAGTCTTTTCCAAAACTAATACAGACACACATATACATAAAATGCATTAATTAATGTCTTGTCACAAAAAAAAAGAATTTAAACAACTTCTAAAAGAGCAAGCGTTATTTTCAAGTATGAATAGGTATACATTTCTAAAGATTACCAGTTTGCCAAAACGTAGCTCTTTCTAATTTATAGTTAAGTTCTAAAAATTGTCTAAAATTAAGTGTTACATACTTATTATAGTTCAAAAAGCTGTACTATACTAGGAACTGTGGTAGAGCCATGCTTCGGCATATTGGGGCCTTCTCTACTGGATTGATGCTACGGCCTCACAGAAAACCGCTGTGAATCGATATTTTCCTTCTTTCCATAATTTGACACTAACTTCTCCCTTTCCCCGTAGTTTAGAGGTACTCAAAAGGAGGCAACAAAGGCAAAGACTAACTGATAGTCTCATTGAGCATATACTCCTCCTATCTTAAAACATTAATGCATCTATTTTTTTTCAAATGCACTCACTTCGATTAACAAGCTCTTGGACTATAACTCTCATCTGTCGCTAATTGTTTTCTCTCTATTAACAATTTGCTTTGTCTATATTGCAGGCAGAGAGACGCGAAGCTCTCGAAGATGTAAGTGACTAGTTCCAACAGAAGTATGTGTAAGTTAAACAAAGTCCGCGACACCGAGAAGAGGCTGTACGTAAAGTTACGCAATTAAGAAGAAGCAGGGTACGAAATTGCATCAGGCGAAGTTCTTGTATTCCCTAGTGGAAACTATCCTCATTACTTTGTGTATGTTTAGTATCTAAATTGTATAGAAACAATGTTTTGCGATCATGTTCCACGTAATTGAAATAAATTGGGTTGTACATATATGCCAAATACGTTGGCTTCGCTCCAACTGCTCACGTAAGTGTTATAAAATTTTACATTGTTTTTATATAAAACTACTTAAAAACCTACTTAAAAACTACTTAAAAAACTAAATTAAAAACAATAAAGGAAGTAAATAATAGTAAATATTGGTGTTATTTTATCGTTTATTATTATACACAAACACACGAACTGTCAGACATCCCTATCTTAATCTATTTGTTAATTTTACACAAAGCTTTAGTTTTACCTACGGCTAAAACAAACATCAGCAGAAGCTAAAGTACAAAGACTTATTCTAAAAATATATTACATTATTTAACACTGAACAATTATCAGATTGATGCGCTTTGGTGGCCTTAATGTCGGCAGAGAACAATGAACAATTTATCGTTGAAAACTTAACATAAAATTAACAAACACAGCCATAATCAATAATTAACGATAATATCACAATTCAAACTTAACAATAATTCAACGCTTAAAAATATATAACATATAACAAAAACGAACTAATAACAAAATTATACCAAACGGTAATAACAATAATAGCGTAATGACAATTTTGTCCCTGTAAACGTCTACTGAGAGCCAGCTCATGTCAACTATTGGTTAAAATGATTTGATTTCAAAAATAATTAAATTATTGTAACCATTGTGTGATGTGGTCGCATTAGCGAATTAAAATCAAATCAAAGGGGACAAAATAATCACTAAGCAAACATCTCGATTGTTAATTATCATGTTCGTAAATTTTGGAAAACCAGATGTTTGTTTAAACGATGCAAAACATGGATAAGCATTCAGAGGAAGTACTTTACATATATTACTGTACTCTGTGCTTTACATATTAAGTGAATATAAATGGTGATCGTTCATCGATAGAGTATATAGACTTGAGATTTACATCGCATGATAATAAAATCAAATTCAATCATCCAAATAGGATTTTAACCGCCGTTAAAACCCAATAAGGAGGAAATAATATTTAAATAACAAAACAAAATGAAACAATATCAGGCACAAAGGTTAGTAAGGCACAATGTGATTGTTTCGAAGAAAACCAAATTTAACAAAACAGAAGAAAACGAAAGCAATTGACAATCATACCATGACAATTATGTAGCAAGATGCTCATCAATATGGAAAATCAACTGAGATATAAGCAACAAAACAAAAATTCAACCATTTAATAACAAAATCAACGAGCTTTTGTCTTGGAAATCTAAGCCGAAATAGCAAATAATATTACAGGAACACTTTTGGGATTCATGTGATTTAATATTACAAGATAGAAAATAAACTTATCGTGGCAATACCTGTGAATGATTTTAAGACTATTGAAATTGACACACTAGGTAATAAACGAATCTAACATTGCTGCAATTGAACAAACTACAACTTGTTTGTAGTTGTATATTTTCTGGTATAATGGTTTTTCGGAAGTGTTTACAAAAGAATAAGACAAAATTAACGTGAATTATTTGGACTGAATTATCGAAGAAAGGTGCTGAAGGATTAAAGAACCAAAACTCAAGGCGGACTTACGATAGCAACAAAATTAATTTGTTTAAACAAAAACTTAACAAATTTTCAACAAAACTCAACTGATTTTTAACAAAAACTCAACTGATTTTAAACAAAAAAATCAACTGACATAAAACGAAAACTTAATTTATTGGAAACGCAAACGCAGCTTATTTTACAGAAACTCGACTGATTTTAAATACAAACTCAACTTATTTTAAACAAAAATTCAACTGATTTCAAAACTTAAACTCAACTCATTTGAAACAACAAACTCAACTTATGTGAAGCGCAAACTCAACTTATTTTAAACCAAAACTCAACTGATTTGAAACAAGAAAACTCAACTTATGTGAAACGCAAACTCAACTTATTTTAAATAAAAACTCAACTGATTTGAAACGCGAACTCAACTTACTTTGTACAAAATTTTACTCATTGGTAATAAAAATAAATGAAATGATTTGATTTTTGATTTCGATAAAAAAAAATATTTTAAAAGTAAACTGAATTGATTTTAAACCAAAAATGAACTGATTTCAAACGTAAACTCAACTTATTTCATTTTTAATGACAACTGAACTCATTTTAAAAACAAACTGAACTGATATAGAAGCAAATGTAAGCTGATTTAAAACTAAAACTCAACTTTTTTTAAACGAAAACATAACTGATTTAAAACAAAAACATAACTGGTTTGAAACGCAAACTTAACTTTTTTTACACATAAACGTTTACACATACACATAAACTGATTGGTAATGAGAATATAACTTATTTTAAACAGAATTGTTGTTAAAAGCAACCTTAGCTGATGTAGATCCAAATTCAACTGATTTAAAACAAAAACTTAACTGATTTTAAACGAAAACTCAACTGATTTTAAACAAAAACTCAACGGACATGAAATGAAACTTAAATAGTTAGGTACACATTAGACAACAAATAACAACATAACTAGTCCAGCTAGTTACATTACATAACTCAAACACAAATTCAACAGTTTCAAATAACAATCGTTAACACAACTTTTTGGGGTATGATTTTTTACTAAAAAGGGGAGAAGAATTGCAAAACTCTTAATAGGTATCCACTGGTTTTTTAAACTGCAATAAATATTAACAACTGTGACGAAATTAAAACAAAGTGACAAAATTTTAGTTTGGTTTGGTTAAAATATTTGGTAACATTGAAAGGACGTAATAAACGATGAAAACGTCCAAAACATGAACAACTTGTTACATAACAACAATAACATGAAACGCAAGCTTCAACAACACCGATCATTAAGGCGCTTTTAATTCTATTCTATTGCTTATTCTAAGCTTAAGTTAATTCTTGGAACTGTTAAATTCAGTGCGCATAATTGATGTGAATTGAAGAATTGTAAATGGTATTTCACTCATCACACAAAAAAAAACTAACCTACTTAAACCTATCATATCTTTGGGGAGTCTAGAGATGAATATTTTTTTATTCACCTTTTGTCGAATCCTTTGGCTTGTTGCAGCAAACATTTTGGGTAGCGAATTGTTCAATATTTAACTACAATTTGTTTTGTAGTTGATGCAGATTTAAGTTGGAAGTTCAGTTCACCAAATTACCAAGTTAACTGCCCATTCCCAATTGCTCTACCTTCTTTTGCTTTCTGTTCCTTCAAATCGGAGTCTGCAACAATTGAAAAAGAGAAGTTTAAATAATAGTTTATTAAGGAAAGCTTTTGAAATAATAGGATGCGAAATAAAATCCACAACCGAGATTAATTGATTGTCAGAGTGTCAACCGACCGACCCCAAATAAAATTGGGAAAAGGGTAGGCAGATGAGTGTCAAGAAAAATTTAGTGCTTTAAATGAATAAACAGTGGCAAGAGAACCATATAACTATTTCAAAGACAAAAAAGAAATACAAGAGTAATTAGTACTTACCTATAGTATGTATAGAACTCGCTTGAGGTACGAATAAAATGATGTTATTGTTCACAATTTTGTCTTCCATTAAAGAGTTACACAAATTTCTTTCACAATACTTATATTAAACATGTGATGTTTATCGAAAACGTAGTACGTGGAGATATACCTCCGGGGGCAGGACTGTACCGTCCCCCGGAGTAGTGAACAGTCGCGCTTTCTGTTTGGATGTGATTGTTTACAGCGATCAGCACCCTTATATATGATTCCCGAAATCCCTTCCCGTTCCACCGTGGGAGCGCTCGCGCACGTGGACTTCTTGCGTAAGCGCACACAATAGCTCCCTATTCTTTGTCCGCATTGATTTCGACCCCTCAAACGTCTTAACGTCTATCTATTACCTGTATGTAAGGGGAGAAATCTCACTCGGTGGGAATTGTACGCAATCGTAACTGAAATTGAATTATACTACGCGATAATCATGTGAATTATAAGAGGGTTGATTCTTACTTTCACACGCTACAAACTATTGTTATGTAAATAATTCATGAACGTAGTTGCAACAGAATTTGCTGTTAGTCGTACAAGATATTTCCTTAATATTAATTAAGGTAACAATAATTACCATACATGTAATACCGGCTGTTGGTGCAGGCATCGTACTTGCAATATTCGGAGCTAATCGACAAAGTTCAGGCTCTATGTAATATGTTTAAAGCTAATGTTATAGAAGACGGGTGTGTGTGAGATAAGCTACTTTAATCTAAACATACCGCCAGAAATGTTGCAGCCAAGCTCTCCTCCATCAAGGTAAAAATAAATTAAACTTTGCAAAAAGTGTTTTGGTACTGGCTTCAAATGTCAAATCAGGTGGAACAAAAATGTATGATTTTAATAAAACCTAGAATTAAATATATTTGAAAAAGGATATATTGGTGGCCACGGTTTAATAAAACAATAATTACTGGCATGCTCTAAAAATTAACTGTTTATGTACTGCGGCCCAAGTCCAGCCGAGTTAACGCCTTAATTGGAGGCGTTCATGGGTGCCGGTAGTCACTTTCCACCAGGTGACCCGTCTGCTTGTTTGCCACCTCTTCCATAAAAAAATCTCACTTATCTAATATGTAATCAAATTCTTTAAAGTAGTATAGTAGATGATATAATACTATAAAATAAAAGCGATAAATGAACTTCATAATATTAACCACCTATTCCATTCAGTTGCAGGCTCTAATTCCTTCGCTATCGTTCCATGGGTCCCATCACTGAAGGTATTACTTTACATGGTTACTAATATTCAAACATAAGCCTAATAATTTACGGTAATCAT